TTATAGTACTTTCGAGTACGAAGATATCTTAAAGATATAGGCTTTTTCTAGTAAGAGAGGACTAGATACCGCTAAGGAACGTAATAGTGAAAATGCGGGAGTCTTCGATATCGAGTGAATCTCACCTAGAGGTTCATCTCACTCTGACATTTCAAGTTCAGCTCCCTCTCGGCTATGTTATTCCTGTGGGTCGGCTCTCTCCCTCTATACCTATCTACTCAGAGATCGGCGGCGCTCTGGATAGTTATCGGCTACTTGATCCCAAATTCTGCTCTGTGTCCTCGCTTTCAGACGCAAATACGTCGCTGCTGTTGGTCAAATTCTCTTTCATCGCTGTACCGACGGTGGCCTCAACCTCACTCTCTATGACCCAGGCAATTCCGGGGAATTTTGGTGCTCTCGGGTCTTGCAGCTGGTTTGAACGAAATGGTCGCCATTGGCTGGCACATCAGAACTGCGTCCCGATCAAGAAGCGAAGTTTGTTTCTCGCATCATATCGCCTCGATCTGGATGGATAGTGTAGTCGACGCCTTCTCAACGAGAGATGCGGAGTTCTTTTCGTGGTTGGTTGAACTGGTCACATGCTGCTCACATAGTTCTCCGCAACGGCCCAGCGATCAGTCAGGCTGTGATAGATCCGGATTTACGGAAGTAGCCAACCAGCTACGACTGCAATTCTCGAGATCACAGTGGCAAGGGTGATAATGTCGTCTCGCATGGCTACTTTGCGTTAACAGCAGCGATCATGGCGCTGGAATTTGTCAAGTAAGCAGGTTGTGACGGGTCAGAGGCGTCTGGCTGTCGATGAAAGACCGCATCCGATACGACCGTGATGAATGCACTGCATAATGTTGCATATCCTCGGCTCATCCTAGTGAGCGTGGGTACTCCGCAGCGTGATGGAGCAAAGAGCAAACATCAGCTGTCAGTTTAAATCTTCTGTGGATCACTGCTAACACCGGCCTCGACCAATTTCGCACCGACTTTCTTTCTCCACTCCTGGATCTTCCCTATGAACCCATCGTCCCCGGTCTTGTTGGGCTGGTGATCCCATTCCTCCTCGTGATGTTGTATCATTCCACTCTCATCTAGCTTGAGCGTGATCTTGCTGTTCAGAGTTTTCTCAGGTGTCTTGTCTCCCTTGAAGACGTAGTGTTGTGTCAGGTTCAAGACAATCGCACCTCCTTCGCCCTGGTGGGTGCTCGCGGCGGGCTTCTGTGCTGTAGCTGACGACGGATCGAGTAGTTCGCATTTCTGAGTGTCTGAGCGTGCGAAGAGCTTTGGCATGCCGTTGAATTGAGACTTGATACTTTCCAGGCCCTTGGCTATTGAGACGGGATCATGGAAGACGGCGTCGGTGCGGTAGTGAGCGTAGGACTGATCTAGCAAAGTTGCATGAGTACGGAGTAGAAGCCCGAAATGCAAACGCTATGAGAACTCACCGGTGGGCTTGAGTTGATATAGCGTAAGCACTTCGTCGATGATTGTCTTCTCCTCAGCGCTTGGCTGGCGTCCTTGAATGGTCGTCATTGATCTTGCGGTGGAGAGTGCTCTGAAGTGTATAGATTTGGAAACTCGCCCAAGCATTGAAGTGTAGACAAATGCAGCGATGTTCACCTAGGCTTGACCAATATATCGACCTTGAGCTTCAGGCCTCGCTTGCTGATGTCATCGCAATGTGATGATGCTGCTATGACCACTTCATATAGTCCAGGTTGCACAAAACTTGAACGTACGGAGGCCAAAGCGGAAAGATCATCCACGGCTTCGCGGCTTAAGCATGAATTGTCCTTCCTTTATTCCAAGTGAATGAATTTGGAGCGTTCTGTCGTTCCTGGTCGTGCCCGCGAACTCGAATGTACCACCAAATCACGTGGCGTTCGGGAAAAGGTGAAGAAGAAGAGGGTCGCAAGGTCGCGAGTGCAAGCAGCCATGGCGTCGCTCTAATAATCTGCCTGAGATCGGCAGAGTAGCACAGGCAGCAAAACTTTGACTCGAATGGCGCCTACTCCAATGCAGGAATGATGATTTCTTTGGACATGAACGCAATATGGAAGTTATGCCCTTCGCCTCTCTCATTCTCGTAGTCCAACTTGTACCCTGTGCGTAGGTAGAACGAACCAGTAACCTCGGCCGGTGTGCTGAGCGTGATCTTGAGCCTCTTGGCCAGGTCGCCGTGGGTTGTAGTGTTGGTAAACTGCTTCTCCGAGAACCTGCGGATCACTTCATCTTCCACCAATGTCATCATATAGCCAGCAAGACCTTGTCCCTGCAGATCGGGATCGGTAGCCATCATCTTCAGCTCCCATTCTTCGAAACCGTTCTCGACCTCCAGTCGTCTCACCCACGGACTATTTTTCATGGTTACGTCTGACGGTGGTCCAAGGTATCTCCTCGCTGTGGCCGTTGCAACCACTTCTTTGCCGTCTCGCGAATGAACAGCAACAACAAAAGCTTCCTTGTCATGGGAAATGTTTCTTAGAAATTCCTCGTCTGAAGCTATGCGTGGTACATTTCCATTCATGCCGAGCTGAGCATTACGGCTGTGAGATTTTGAGAAAGCGGCATTGATAACACCAATGATGCCAGGAAGGAACCTAGAATTCGATATGTCCTGAGACGAGACGACCGAAACGGAGGAGGGCTTGCCACGCACAGGCGGTCCTGACAAAGAGTGACTGGTGCCGGCTAATGACATGCCGACTGCATTTATGCATGTGAATGTGAGTTAAGGTCTGCAAATGGAATGTGCCAATATAGCAGCTACATGGTAGGAAATCAAGGAGGTTAGTGAATGGGTTAGTGTCCCCTCGCTCGGGTTAAAGCGAACGCTCCGGCCGAAGACGAACACGTGCTTATTTCGGCAGATTAGGTGACTCGTATGCAGACGAAGGAAATGCCTGAGCATTGGAGCATGTCATTGTAAGAGCTGCTGGCATCGTGGTCTGGTGCAGAGCCTTCGTGGGATGTGGTATCGCGTGCGCTCTGAACGAGCTTCGGCGGACCACGATCGCAATGTATAGACTATTCACCTGACTACCACATCCCAGCGTCCGCGCCGCCCCGAATCATTGTCGTTGTACCTCCTCTTTTCATCGTCTTGCTGGGTAAGACTTCTGCTCAGTTCCGTCTTTCGGCACGCTCATATTATTGATAGGATTGAGGAGTGATGTTGGAGACTCTACGTCATGTAAAAAATAGTGGTATATGCGATCCAGCTAATAGCAGTACTGCGTTGGCAGAGCGACTTGACAGTTATCATCTCGCGATTGAAACCAAAGAATGGTGTTTTGAAGAAGTTCGAGATCCAGATGAAGGAAAGTGCATCATAGTCAGCATGATCCAGGCGCCAAGAGCTTGGCCCAAGAACAAGACTTCGCCGCAGAAGCCACTTCACTTCTATACGCTCTCGCCAAACTTCCTCGAGATTAGCGTAGTTTTGTTCCAGCGTCACTACATATACGGGAAACATTGCTCAGCCTCGCGGCGTTTCTAGAGAGCCTAGAGCAAGTACCTCGGTCGGCGTAGACGTTGGCCTAAAGAAGACGATAGAGTAGCCTCATAATGATAGCAAAAGCGCCCTCGTCGAGACACTTTTTCACTGGGCTGAGAAAACACCAGGGCGAGTCTTGGCGCCGGAGAAAAATGGAGGTTTGAAGAATAGACCTTGACGTTGTGATGGAGTTGAGAGGAAAATACTTGTTCCCGAAAGTGAATGAAGATTTGGCTGGTGGCTTCCAGGCTCAAGAGTCATAGGCAGTGGCGAACAGTAGCAGAAAGTATCAGAACTGAATACAGTGCGAATCAAATGGATAACGCAACGAGATTAGAAGCAAAGCGATACTGCAGGATCGATGCTGAATCTGCTTTCTGTCCCGTTTTTGCCTCCAACGCTCTTCCTGTATCATAAAGTCCTGTGCCGCGAGTTGTCCCCATACATGGCGCTCTGTCTGGAAATGGCTCAAAAATGTCAGCACCGCGATCTCGGTGCCAGAGACACGTTGATAGTGGGCGAGTTACTGAGTTGGATTCACACTTGGTGATGTATCATCCTTTGGTGGTTCGTCATCGTATTTTTCACTTCGAGGCCTGTTCTGATCGTCGATGCCCTCGAATTCCCGCTTCGTCTTGGCTTCATGCTCATGAGCAGCTTCAGATGGTAGATTATCTGTACTGTAAACTTTGGCTGGTTGTGGTAGTCGCTTTTCGATTTTAGTTCTTTCGATCCGGTCGGACAGATGCTGCGCGGCCTCCTCTTCAGTGCGACTGTGCTCGCTATCGCTCCCCTTGACAAGCTGGATGTCGACCACAGCAATCTTGGAATTCAAGATCCAATCGGATATTCGTTGCTCAGTCACAGATGGGTTTTCAGAATCGAAGACGGTAAACTGCCAAAGATGTGTATCGTGAAGGCACATGAGTTCGAGGCCCTTCTCGACCATCAATGCCCAAGTAGATCGCTTGATTGACGTTTTCTCGGTCTTCGCACTCACTTCATTGAGCACTGCCTGCTCGTCATCGTAGATGTCTTCATCGATATCTTGCCCAACACCGTCTGCGTCATCCGATTCGTCGTCGACTTTTGGAAGTGCTTCCAGGTCGATCTTGCGCAGCGTACTGAGCTGCTGGACCCCGGACAGGATGTGGGTTTGCGACGATCGCGGTACTTAAGCTGATGACGGCTGAGCCGTGTACATGCTGATGGCAGCCGCATGTGGTTGTGTACGTGACAGTAGTGTTTGTGCTTGGTATCTAGAAATGTCATCCTGCAGAAGCGCCACTGCACAGAGCCCTGCATACCATCGTGATTGGCTGTAGCCCCTGGCTAGACGAGATACGCTTCAAATGACCGCCGCTCCTTATTATCATCCGCGTCGTCGATTCGTCGCACGGGACCGCTTCTTTTCTCTCGCAACGACTGCACTTCCCTCTTTTACGCTGCCTTATAGTCACTCATTCGAACCGCTGCTATCCTCACCACAGTCACTCCTTCGGGCGAAACACCCATCGCAGCTGGATCTGCGACCCTTTTTGAACCCAGTAATCGGACGCGTGGAACGGAACGGCAACCAGGGCAGCCATGTCTTGCTTCCTACTCCCCGTCGCACTCCTTGTCGCGAACGTCCTCGCCCAGACGACGACCGACTGCAACCCCCTCAACTCGACATGTCCTGACGACCCGGCATTGGGCACCACCTTCTCCAGCACATTCAATGGCTCTATGAGCGAATTCGACCCGGCCTTCTGGAATGTCACAGCAGGAACGTCGCTCATCAGTTTCGGCGACGATGGCGTGGAAATGGCTTTGCAGAAAGATACCGACTCCGTGACGGTCAAGTCGAACTTTTACATCTTCTGGGGTCAGGCAGAGATTCTGTTCAAGGCCGCGAAAGGTACCGGCATCATCTCGACCATGATTCTGCTTTCGGATGATCTGGACGAAGTTGATTGGGAAATCAAGGGTGGTAACACGACGACTGTGAGCAACAACTATTATGGATGGGGCAATGTTTCGCAATACAACTCTGAATACCCTACTATCGATACTCCAGCTATGGATGATTACCACAACTACACCATTGACTGGACGCAGGAGAGGATCCAGTACATCATCAATGGCAATGTCGTACGCACGGTAGGATATCAGGAGCCAGGCGAATACCCGCAAACTCCCAGCCGCGTGCAGTTCGGAGTCTGGTGTGGTGGATGCTCAAAGGCGAAAGGTACTGTGGAGTGGGCAGGTGGAAAGACCGATTTCGATGAGGCGTAAGTGCGGAAGCAGTCACGCGCTGAAACATTTCTAATCCTCAACAGACCATTTACCATGACCGTCAAGTCCATTCGCATCACCGACGGCACGACCAACTCAAGTGTCTATTCCTACGGCGACCACACAGGCTCCTACCAAAGCATTAAAGTCACAGACGGCGAATCAGACGCCTACAAAGCCATCAACAAGAAATCTCATTTCCAATCTGCCGAACAAAAGTGGAACGGCCTCTCAACCGGCGCCAAAATCGGCATTGCATGCGGTGTCCTCGGAGCTTTCGCCATCGCACTCATCGCGTTCACGTTCTACTGCTGCGCTCAACGCAAGAAGGGACGAGCGGAGAAAGAAGCCCACGACAAAGAATGGGAGCAGCAAGAAAACGAACTCCTCGCATATCGATCCATGATGGCGCAGGGTAATTTTGCCGTCACGAGGCAGAGCGTGATGTTGGAAGCGAAGCACGATGAGAAGGGAAAAAGGTTTTCGAGATTCAGCGGGAGGGTCTAGGAATACACGAGAAGCGACAGAAATGTTTTTTGATGTGTGTGAGTGCTATTTACTGCTTTGCTTGCGAAAATTCTGGGGGTTTTCTTGGAGCGATCGAGTGTGCTGGGCACGAAACATGAAGCTGCTGAGTTCCTGTACATCTTACGTGACGTTATGATATCCCCACCCCGCAACAATACCAGTCAATGTTTTTTTTTCTCATCAGGTCTCTAGGATGCGACGCGAGTTCTGAAATATGTATGTCAACCTGGCCAGAAAAAAACTCACCTGCCATTCCCCTTCTTTCGGTCTTTCGGAAATCATTACTCCGAGATCTATGTACACTACAGTTTGACGTCGAGAGCTCGTCGCAATTCTCGTGGAACAAGCCTTGTTGAATTGGGTTGGCGCTCAACGTGTGTGTCGAGAGGACTTGCATCCCGGGCGATGTTCGGAGTGGCTCGTGGTCGCTCGTGCCATGGAGACTCATGCTGAATTTGCGCATGCAGTCATTCCTAGCACAGCACATCATCTGGCCACAAAAACGCTCTTGCAAAACAGTTTTCCTCAGTTTTGAAAGGCTCGGAAGCTCAGCCCACCAGGCATGACTATGGGAATTCGGTCGAGGCAATCCGTTCTTCACCGCGAGGCCTGCAAAATCCTTGCACATGATGATCAAACTGTCCTACGTGCAGCGATTCCTCAACCGCTCATACTGCTGCCGTTCCATTACCGACCAGCTCTGGATGCTCGGACAAATGCAGCCAAAAATCGAGCTCGAAATTCTCAAGCGCGTTCTGCTCTGCGGTAGATGCGAGCCACGGATCGAGATCTTCGGCACCAAGGACATCTGCTGGCGCAGTAGGCCGATGCGTGGTATGATGAAGCTCTTTGGCGAAAGGCGAAAGCACTCTTCCCAGAATTCCCTTCACCGTGGCCGTCGCTCCAGAAAGCAAGGCATAGTTTGGTTCTCCATGATCGATCAGAACACCACTCTCAAGGTGTGCCACAAGCACGCTCAGGTCTTGTATGACTTGCGAAATTGAAGTCTCTCCTTCGCTCATGGCGATTGACCTGTTGAGAAGTGACAAGCATATGATCCCTGCGGCTGGAAGGCTGTAATAAGCGATCTACTTGAGGATCAGCAAAGAACATTTCTGCAGTCTTTTCACCAAACAGACCTTCCAGACCAAGCCCGTGCCGGAATTTGCGAGATGCTGCTTCATCACAATCGCTTCTGCAGCTACGTGCAGCATTTTTGCGGAAATCTTGACGAGCTCGATCCCAGGATCATAAGCACGAGGCAGCAGGGTAACTTCGAGGAGGAAAAGGATGTGAAGGTGATTTAGCCTCGCACTGACCAGAAAGTCTCGCTCGACTGGTGAGCGGGTGTTGCAAAGATATAAAGGGCTCTCCAGCCGATGTGGACTGGGTAAAGAATTCCACAGAGTCAAAGCTTTGGCTGAAATGTCCTGCGCCTTGTTTGCTTTGGTCTCGCTGTCGAAGTTCTTGGTCAAATCCAACACTTGCTCTTTGAGAGTCGCACAAGATGCCGTCCACCAGGTCTCCAGTATGTAGTCAAAAGGCTGGCCGAGCGAGAGTGTTGCAACACTTTGCTGGGTCGACACTGTGCCAATGGCGGTGACACTCAAGTCGGCGATGACTCTTTCAATTTGGCAGTATTTTTGACTAATTCGCGGCGGACGACCAAGAAAGATTGAAACATTCTTATCAGCAGAATATGCTCGTGCGAAAGCTGCACGCCTCAAGTTCTGCAAGAAAGGAGGGCATTCGGGATCGAGATCTGCCTGCTCATGGTACCCCAAGGCGAACAGGGAGCTCGCAACATCTCCAAGTCGCCTCCACGAGTTGTAACCTGAAAGTCAGCAAAGGTTGAGGACAAGGTATCGGAGCACGTACTTTGATCACCGTCAACCATGGAATGGGCGATGAAATTCTCGTATTGAAGCAGTAGCAAGAAATCGTACATGCAGTCAAGGGAGAGGGCTACCTCGAGACAGTGATCTGCATAGCTCAACGCAAGTCTTTGCAGCTTCCGGCGTTCCTCCCTCGTGCTGAACATGGTCTCGAAGCAATCGAAGTCAGTCGCAGCACGCGTTACGGCTACAAAGAATAAGCCGAGGGACTCCCAGCATGTCTCATCTCCCGTGATCTGGGAGCAGAACTGCTCGAAGGTGGTGCTGGCAGTGACTATCCACGGCCGACAAGACGAAGTGAACAGCATCCTGGATACATTTCCTGCAGATAGATGGTCCCTGTGGAGAAGTTGATCGATAGCCTTGGTGCATGGGCCTACGAGAGAGCCTGCCAGTGCAATATTGGTGCCTGTGGCAATCCAGGCATTGACCATGCGCACGCATGCCGAGACCTGGAATACGCTTGGGATCTTCTTGATGAACGTGGACTCCTGGATGATTTGAGAAGCGTCCACGCGGCAGTCGAAGTCTTCTGGCGGCGGATCTCCATTATTATTGCAAGCGGCAGGAGTGTTGTCGCCGCTGCTTGCTGTGAGATGCTCGAAGATGGCGGTGTGACTTGTGCTTCCCAGGTACCCAGAGTTGGGGTAGGCGCGAGGTGTCGGCGCACTGGTGGGAATCGGGGTTTCCGGCTCGAAGGAGAGCTCGTCATGATCTTCGGCGTCGGGCGGCACGGTGCGTCGTCGCTTGAAAGGTCGCTCGCGATACTGACAACTTTCTGCACGATCGGCATCTTGACACCGACCACACACCGGCTTGGCGTGGTCGCATGAAACCTTCGACAGCCGGCATGGCTCGCAGGCTGCACGTCGTATCGGCATGGTCGAACACTCCGAAGCCTCCTCGGAACCTGAGCAGTGGCATGTTGGCAGCGGCAAGCGAGCATAGCAATGTGAAAGGAGTTCGGACAAAGGTATGCACGGAGAAAGATAAGTCACGCCGAACACTCCGAGGAGTGCCAAGGATACTAGAATACCGGCTGCTTCCGTTTTGCCTTGCTGCCTGAAACTCTCCCTTCCATCAACTCCTGACCAGCTTCACCATATCGTACCAGCCATCGCCGTACCGCGTGCATCGACTGCGACCTCGCTTTTCGAACCCAAAAGACTCATAATACGGCACCAAATACGCTCGGGCGATCAGGGCCACCCGGTCTACCGTAGGATCGTCCTTGAGCCTCTCGAGATAAGCTGCCATCAGCCGCCGTCCAAGACCCGTCCTCTGGCACTTTGGTGAGATGGCCAGGGTATGTAGGCATACCGTACGCCCCGTCGGGACGTGTCCGACGTGTGAACCGACAGCACTGCTGTGTTTCGGAATGTCCACTGCCTCGTTCGTCACGGCGTGATCGGCTGTTTTGGTCGCACTGATCTGGCCCACGAGTTCCCAGTCCTCTTCGTTCTCCACTGCCATGAACATTCCCAACGAGAGATCACCAGCTTCTCGCAGTCGGTATTGGTACTAGGTCAACATGTCAGTCCGAGCTGTGATCGTTCTCGTCTTCTCGTCGGCAATTACCTTCTCCAACGTGGCTCTTTCCGAGGCTGCGAATGTCGTCAACTCCAGAGCATAGCATGATGCAGCGTCTTCTGCCGACAGCGGACGCAGCTCTACTTTCGAATTCTTCGGCGGTCTCTTGGTGCTGTCTGGCGAGCGACATCCAGATCTTATTCTGTCAACATGGAGCATCGGCTTTCGAGACATCATGATGGTATGGTGGTCAGTGGCAGCGGTGAAGGTGTTGTGACAGGAAAAAGGAAGAGCTTCACGTCACCTGTCACATGGTACTCTCAACTAAACGTGCATCCGTCCCGTGGCTTCATTCCGGATTGTGTGAACGCATGCCAGTGCTTGAAGTACGCCGAGCACTCCGAAATGCATAATTCGGCAGGGACGACCGTGTGTGCACATTTTCTATCCCACATTTCTGTTTGATCTCTCCTTTTCGACATTGCCGCTTATCATTCGTTCCAATGCGCGATTCATGCAATATGTGCAACTCCCATCTTTGTCTTCCCACATGCAAATGCTGTCACAGCAACGCCATCTTCACGCCATCTTCAACGCTACAACTTTCTCTTCTCACTAATCTCCTCATACGTTTGGATTTGATCGCCCACCTCAAAGCCCTGCCAATCGTCAAAGCCAATGCCGCATTCTGTACCTTTCCTCATTTGCGTGACGTCCTTCTTGACGTTCTTGAGGGAGGAGATTGTGCCTGCAAGTATCACAAGTTAGTATGGACTGGAAGAAGCAGGGTTCTGCAGTCACTCCACTTACCATCATGAATCTTTTCCCCATTCCTGGTGACTCTCGCCCGACTGTTCTTCCCAATGACACCGTTTCTCACTTTGCAGCCTGCAATCTTCATCGTCTTCCTTCCACCGATATTGATTTCAAAAGCAGCGCTGACTTCAGCTTCACCCAACACTCTCTGACTGAGGATAGGAGGAAGCTTGTCTTCGAGAACACCCTTGACATCATCCAGGACACGGTAGATAATATTGTTCTCCAAGATCTTGACACCTCTGCGCTCAGCAGCACCCTGCATTTCGGGGTCTGAGGGTAGATTGAAAGCGATGATGTGGCCACCAGCCGCATTGGCCATTTCGATGTCAGACTCGTGGACAGCTCCAACGTCCGAAGAGAGGATCTTGGGTGTGATGAGTGGATTGGAGACGCTCATGATATATGCTGAAACGGCTTCAGCGGATCCAGAGACGTCGGCTTTGATGATGAAGGGGACTTCCATCTGGCCTGACTGTTGACGGTCGCGTTCGGGAGCATCGATGTCGGTGGATGGGCCTTCTGCTGCTCCGCCTTCACGAGCGGCAGTTCGTTGAGCTTGCTTGGCGGCGAGCGAAGCAGCCTTTTCCTTGCTTTGACGTTCTTGGGCTATGCGGCGTGACTCGTTGATGGCCTCGGTATCAGAAGCAATGCGCTCGCGCTCATCCTTCTCGAGTCGGAACTCAACAACGTCGTTCGCTTTCTGCTCGCTCGGTGCTTCCAGAACTTCATCGCCGGCCATCGGCTGTTCTTTCCATCCATCGACCTCCACAGGCATACCTGGACCGACGCTTTGGAGCATTTGGCCACCTTCGTTGCGAAGACATCTGACGCGGGCCCAGGTCTTGCCTGCGACGATGACATTACCCGGCTTGAGAGTACCTCGTCGGACGAGCACAGTCGCCACACGTCCATAATTCTTGGTCGTGGCTTCCAATACCCAGCCTTCGACTGCACCATCGGTCTCGGCGCGATGGTCGAGCACCTCTGACAGAGTCACGACGTTCTCCTCGAGCTCATCCATGCCCTGTCCAGTCTTGCCAGATACTTCAACGACCTGTGTCTCGCCACCAAAATCCTCAATTTCAACACCGTGACGAGCGAGATCTTGCTTGACGCGTTGAACGTCAGCTTGCTCCTTGTCGACCTTGTTGATGGCGACGATCATGGGTACGCCTGCAGCTTTAGCGTGCTTGATGGCTTCAAGTGTCTGCGGCTTGACACTGTCGTCTGCTGCGACAACCAGGATGACAATGTCCGTGACATTGGCACCACGCTGTCTCATGGCCAGGAATGCTGCGTGGCCGGGTGTGTCGAGGAAAGTGATAGTCTTGCCGCTGCTCGCGAGGCGAACGCTGAATGCACCGATATGTTGTGTAATGCCGCCAGCTTCGCCGGCTGCCACGGAGCTTTTGCGCAAGTAATCCAGGATAGTGGTCTTGCCATGGTCGACGTGTCCCATGATGGTGACAACAGGCGGTCTTTCAGGTAGCATTGACTTGTCGTAGGCTTCGGGCTGCGGCTTGAGATCACGCTCTTCAGCTTCCTGTTCTCCACCATCGAAGATCGGCTCGAAGTTGTATTCCATTGCGATCAGAGTCGAAGTCTCGGAGTTGAGAGTCTTGCCCGGAAAGACATCATCGTAGCCCAGCTCTTCCAGGCGTTCGACAAACTCCTCGTAGCGCACGCCAAGAAGCTGCGACAACTGCTGCACGCCGACAAACTCCGGTAGAGAGATTGGCGTCGTGCCCTCAGCCTTGGTTGCTTTACGCTTACGTTCCGCCGCCCTTCTGTCCTGGTCCTTTTTCCGCTCCTTATCGGCTTGTCGTTCTGCTTTACGAGCACGGAAAGCTTCGCGAGCGTCTGCTTCTTCGTCTTCATCTTCATCAAATTCTCTGCGGCCTCCTCGTTGAGCTTTACGGCCATGAATTCTACCAGTTTCCTCAACATCAGCATCTTCCCATCGACTGCGACGAGCCGACTTCTCTTTAGTCTCTCGCGAACCCTCTGGCGCCTCAGTCTCGTCTTCATCTGCCCACCGCAAACCGCGTGACGGTTTCACTTCCTCGCGAGCAACAGATTGTGCCGATGGAGCATTTTGGCCAAACTTGGCCATACGCCTCTCTCTCGCTTCTGCCTTCGCTCTTGCCTCAACATCTTCACCCCACTGGCCACGATCTCGAGGTTCTCGTTGTGAGTCCGTAGCACGAGGGGAGTCGGCGAATGGATTGGACGTTCGAACAGGTGGTTCTGTGCTGCGGCTTCTAGTGTGCGGTGAATTTCCTTGAGCATCTACATTTGGGCAATTCGCTTTGAGGTGCCCGGGTTGACCACAAGCACTGCAGGTCCGTTCACGCTTCGAAGTGCACTGCCGCGCAATATGACCTAATTGACCACAGCGTCCACATTTCTTGTTGGTGGTATCAACGTCTGCGAAAAAATTCCTGCTATAACGGTCTACATCTTGAATCGCAGGATTGTTGATCTGGCCGGGCTCTACAGGACGAACGTGTCGCCCTCTCTTTTCGCGCTCGCGCTGGTGATTCTCGAACGCTTGGTGAACCCAGGCATCATCCATGAACGGGTTAGGCTCGCTTCGAGGTTGTGGCTCGGGAGCAGAATTGGCGGGCGATTCAGCAGGAGATTTCGCAGGCGCTGCATCGCGTCGTCTTAGATGCTGCCAGTTGGCAGACTGCCCTTCGTCAAATGATGCAGCCTTGGGCTGGAACTCGCTAGGGTCGAATGGCATCGTTCGGTAGCCGCTATCACTGTAAGCAAGTGGCTGATAAGTCTTCATCTGGTCTTGACGAGATACCGGGTCGCTATTGCGCCGAGTATGATCCTTTGAGGCACCAAGACCCCATCCACCTTTTTGGAATTGCGGCGAGGGTTGGGCACGCCAAGGTTCTGCTTGTGAGTCGACTTCGGGCGTTGAGTAGTTACCAATGCTGGCTGTTGAGTTGCGACCTAGTCCAAAACCATCATGCGGTTCAGCTCGCTGTGGCCATGCTTGCGAGTCCACTTCTGGCACCGTAACATTCGGTGCTTGTCTAAATGGGTTCGTCGCGGGCTGCAGTCGTTGTGGTTCTGCCTCTGTATCCACCTCGGGCATAGAATAGTTGTCAGGTTGGGTCATGTGCTGTCTGCCTGATGCGGGCGAAGGATCTGGCCGTGCTGGTCGAGCGTGTGTTTCGACTTCAGGTGTGGATACTTCAGCTGCTAATGGAGTAGCAGCTCGAGCGAAGGCCTTTCGAATCTGCAAAAGTGTGCTGGCGGGCGAATGACCAAGCATTGTTGCGATCTCCTTATAGGACACGCCAGATGTGCTCAAGTCCTTCAAAGCCTCGATCTCATCGGCATCCCACAAGTCGGCTGAAGGTTGCACTGGAGTGGCAGCCTTCTCCTGCTCGGGTGCTTTCTTCTCATTTTCCCTAGCCTTGCTTTGCACTGTGCCCAAGGAGTCTGCACGTACAGATGTGGGCGAGCGGGATGGAGCTTGTTGGCGTTGCGCCACTGACTCTGTGTCGAGCGAAGGCGACGTCCGTGGCAAGTTGTAGCTCTGTGGCTCCGATCTTGCATATGGCCGTTGCTCTAGATTTGAGGCGCTCTCTATAGGCGAATCAATGCTGTCCGCAAGCTCGAAAGATCTGAAAGCGCCAATGTTCGTGGATCCCTGCTCCCGAGCAGGCTTTGCATCAATGCTGCTTGAAGATGTTGACAGCATCTCTGGAGGCTGAGCCCGAGAGGGATTAGCCGATTCGTGATCTGGCTCTGCGTTGCCGAATGTTGCAGCTCTGATCTCCGGAGGTTGATCTGTGTCACGCTGGAAGTCTTGCTGTAAAGGTTGTGCATAATCTTGCACTTCCCATAAAGGAGGCTGTCGATCTGCAGAAGCTTCGTTGGGCAATGCATGCAGATGTTGCGAAGCTCGGTCATATACCTCCTGCTGTGATCGTAGATCAGACTCAGTGGTTTGTACTTCGGCAATCTCTAGTGGAGGGTCTCGCTCGAAGTCCTCAAAGTAGGAATGTTCCATTGGCCTCGGAACAGATTGGGCGGCACGGTCGTGTGCTTCCTGCTGTGAGCGTAACTCGTCCTCTGCAGCAGCTTCAACGACATTTTGGCCTTCCTCCCCAAGAGCCGGGTCATATGTCGGCTTGAACGATTTCTGATCGCGTCCCACGGTGAACTTGGCGATGTCCAGAGTATCGTCAGCTTTTGACTTGGGGGCTTCCAGAACTGCATCGCTGTAAGACAAAGGTGCAGCTCCAGTGCTGGCAGCACCCCAGCCTGCCGCCGCAGGTATGACAGTATTTCGGCCACTCGACGATGCAGCTGCGTCCGAGGCTCCTGCGAAAGGGTTGCTGATCTTTTTCGGCGGAGCTGTAGTTCGTGGAGCTGTAGTTCGTGGAGCTGTAGTTCGTGGGGCTGTAGTTCGTGGAGCTGTATTTGATCGGCGTATGGGAACATGTCGCTGTTGCAACGCTTTGTCGGGCGCTAAATGTTTTCTGATCAGTGTCTTCTCACGCTCCGCATCCCGGTCAGTATTTCCACTCTTTGCGCTCTTTCTCTGGGCCGACGAGTCTTGTTCTGTTTTCCGGACGTGGAAAGTGCGTCTCCGCATACCAGCAAGTGTGTCGGCCTGGGTCTGGTCCGATGTAGACCGCTTCATAGCATCAGCCATAGAGATTCCTTGCGAGGATATGGGAGATGGCTCAGCAGCATCACGGGCGCCAAGGTCAAGACGTCGAGTGCCAGAGCGACTGTGGCTCATGTCTCTCGGCTTTTGTTCTCGTCGCTCCTTGACCTGTGCCATGTGCTCCCTCCACATGGCCTCTTGTACAGCTTGGTTCTGCTCGATCTCACGTTTCTGAGTAGCCTGGATGCGCTCGTGCTTCTCCTTCTGCTCCGACATGGACAAGCTGGAATTGGCGTCGTACCATGGCGGCAATGCTCCATTATCGGGTCCATTTTGGGAGGCCGGAGCTGTCGCGGCTGCCGTCGATTGTTGTGGTATTCGCGAGCTACTAAATTGTCTTCGCGGTATAGCAGTGTGGGTGATGTGGGCGATGGGTGCAACTTGAGAGGCCGGAACTTCGATGCCCAGTCGACAAGCACAGAATATGCAGAGGCTCTGGGCTGAGAATGGCTGTGACCAATTAGCATCAAGACTTTTACAGACAACAATGAGGTATGCATACCCCCAGTACACGCTGGCGCCTCATATCAATGCTTAGCGTTATGGCGCATTGAAGGGAGCATCTACAGCATCGACAACACCCGACGTCCACGTTCAGGCAATTCGAGACGCCGCGGGAGTGAGGCCAGCCAGAAACGCCGAAACATCTCCGGTCAACGCCAACGCCGAAAGGCAAATCAAACATTCATGACAATTGACCGACGACCTCTACACCTTTCAGCACAGGACTGCACACTACCCAGTGCCAGAAAGCCCGCCATAATGTCGAGACAGGTATTCAGGCCCTGCTTGAATCATCGCAAGTCAATCGCTAATATGTCCCTGTCCCAGCCAATCATCGGCCACTACACACGCCTCGCAGCACGATGGCCGAAAGACATCCTCCGACCAGAGCACTCCTTCAAATCTCTCCTCGAAGCTCGTATGAAGCACGCACCCACTCCGGCTCGAAATGAGGAGAAGGAGGTCAATGCAGCATATCTCTTGCTCGAGAACAGCTTCAGCAAGCAATTTCCTCTACACGAGAAATTGATGAAGCCTGCGAGCGATCCCAGACGGTACGAGCTGCTTGAGCAAGAGTTGAAGGCCATTCCGAATCGAAGTTTCTTTGGCGCATGGGTGAATCGAATGAGAAATATGGTGCGGCTCAAGTGAGGAGAAGTAGTCCTCACTTCAACATGAGACTGCGCATACACAGCGCAGGAGAGGCGGCTGCCGAAGCCAGAGGCCGGGCCACCATGTATCAATGCGTCAGCGGGCTTTGCTGGAGAACCACGCTCCCAAGAACCCTGGAAGAGCTTGAAAATCGTCTCCCAGACGAGACCTTCCCATCATGCCAAACCTTTGCGTGGAAGTACAGGAACGCACGCCGAGCTCAGCGCACAAGCGTCCGAGACTGGGCAAACTCATGAGCTCGCAGGGCCTCAGCTCCGGGTGGAAGAAGTTCTTGAGACCAGCCATCCTGTACAGTAGACGCATTGTACACCCTCCATTCCCGCGCTCAGCAACGAGGGAACACGAGCAAAATCAAACATCCATACTGCGGGATTTCAACATCGCAGTCTTCCAGCAATGGTCAAATTACATTGAGCTTTCGCACGCCACATCTTCTCAAATTCTCACTGATTTTTTAAAATTTCTTTCCCCTCCTGAACGACAAACGCTGCTCCTCCTCTAGTTGCAAAAATCCCAGTCCATGCGGATTTTGGAGTGATGCCGCAAGTTAAAGATATTGGAGGAAGGGGGTCACTTTATACTCCATAGGGAATCGCAGTACGTCACCGCCGTGATGACTACCAATGTACGAGGTATGAGTTGTTACAAGTTGGCAATCAAAAGCATGTGCGTCCCTCAGCCACATTCACATGCGTACATGGTCTGTGCCTTGATCTCCGGCGCCTATATCTTCTGCTCAACTGAGACTAGAACATGGACTTGAACATCATTCCCGACTGCTCTTCGATGTCACCGTCTGCTGGCCGTGCCACTGCAGCAGATAAGTGCCTCAGATGAGGTGAGGTATTGACATTACATGGAAGTATACGGTTGCGAATCCATTAGCATGGCCACCTAACAATCGCGGAGAGATTCGAAAGTGAGTGAGGTGAACAACTAGATCTACACTTGCAACCATCCACTGAATTCGATCCGCAAACACATGCGCCCGAGTCCTGGTTCATCTCTGCGACCTTAGTCGAAGCGAATGTACAGGATAGAATCTCTACACTTGATATAGTTGAATAGTTCTCCAATCGGCCTGAGTGTAAATGCCAGATGATCGTGAAGCCATGAATTTGAGCTTTTCGCTACTACGCCCCAAGGTACGCAGACTGTAAAGAGTAGGATCGAAGCTGCAATAACTTTTTGGCATTACCCGCCATCTAATCAACTAATGTTAAGATCTATCCTCGCCAATTGAGACGCCGCTAATGCATCTGTTCTAGTTGCCAATCGAATCAAACGCCTGGAGGGAAAAGGGTGGAGCATGGAACGATGACCGGAACGCCAAAGATGTGTTGAATGCAGAAGATGCCTGTGTCGGTTGGTGTCGCGACAGGAACAGTGGAGGGAGTAGATGAAGCCTTCGAAGTGGTTGAAGCTGTAGACGCTTTGGAGGTCGTGGTGGAAAGAGTGGTTGGTTGCGTGCTAGTAGAGCTGCTTGAAGAGCTGCTGCGTATGGAAGAAGTCGTTGGCACTGATGTGGTTGGAATAGCGATCCCGGCTGGGAGGGAGACCGTGGTTGGCACTGAGATCGTGGTCGGGGCTGATAGGCTTGATGAACGAGTGCTTGAGACTGAACTGCTAGAACTCGAAAGTACACTCCTCCTGATGGCAGAGTCAACATTTTTGTTGGCCGAGGAAGGCCCCAGTCCACTCTTGAGATAGCAGGTGCCAGCTCCGGAACCGCCAAGGTATGAGAAGGCAACACAGGACGGATTGGCATCGCAGAGGGGAATGCAGGCCGAGAACGAAGAAGCACTGGCTGATGAAAGATCCTGACCATAGCGATCAGTGCCGCATTCGAGAGTGAAGTCGCTGACCTGTGCGCCGTTTCCGAGCTGCTGGCAAGCTTGGCCAACTGCAGACGATGTTGGAAGCACAGATGATGCGCTATTGGAAGCCGATGTAACAGAAGAGCTGACCGAGGCGGCAGGCTTGGTAGCGACATCGACATTCGAGTTTGCGGTTGCAGGCGTCAGATTGTTCTTGAAGTAGCAGGTTCCGGAGCCAGAGCCGCCAACGTATGCGAAGCCTACGCAGCCGACCAGAGCATCGCACATTGGGATACATGCGGAGAATGATGAAGCGCCTGCAGAAAACAGGTCGCCTCCAGCGCGATCGGTGCCACAAGCGACAGTGTAGAGACCGACTTGGCTGCCATTTCCAAGTTGCTGGCATGAAGCTCCGGCACTCGAGGTCGGTGCTGCAGAAGTCGGGAGAGTGACAGTAGCGGTTGAAATTGATGCAGAAGGAGCGACGCCAGAAGACACCGAGACAGGAGCTGAAGGAATGGCGGCCGCCGAGATTGATGTGTTGGGTGTGGCCACAGGCTTGACCGCGATGTCGACGTTAGGGTTGGATGTCTGCGCGGTCAAGCTGCTCTTGAAGTAGCAGAATCCAGAACCAGATCCACCGACGTAAGCAAAACCTATGCACCCTGCTAAAGCGTCGCAGAGAGGGATACATGCTGCGAATGAAGAGGCTTGTGCGAACGAAAGATCACCTCCTGCACGGTCCGCGCCACAGGTGACTGTGTAAGCACCAACCTGGCTCCCACTTCCCAATTGCTGGCATGAGGCTCCGGTGTTGGTGCTCGGTGCAGTCTGAGGGAAAGCGAATGCAAGTCCCGCGAGGGCGAAAAAGAGGGGAAGAATCATATTTGCAGGTGTCCTTGTGAAGGAAGTGAGCAGATGAAAGAGATGCTAGAGAAGACGAGGACGCCGGACAGCGAAAGGGAACAAGGCGGTACTTCTAGTAAATTCTGTTCTCTAGATTCGACACGCTTCGTCCATTCGTCAGTGTCGGCGAGTTGCGCTTTGGGGTCGAGAGCATGCCAGAGGTCTTGAGTCTGGCTTGCCGCGAGATGCCGAGCAATGACAATGTTGATTGAGCCGGCCGAGCAAATTCGACCTTTCAATGCGTCGGGAGGCACCATCGCATCCTAAACGTCTAGAGTGAGTAAAGGCACGCAGCCATTGGGTTTGCGGGAGCGAATCAAATCAGAAATATAGCGCTACAGGCTGGAGAGAAGTGCGGCCCTTATAGATGGGGTTGGGAAGGTCATGTTTGCTCCAAATCTATTGCCTGGACCATCCGTTCAGCACAGCGGTGACGCGCCCGGTGAGGCTGCCCATGTTTGTCTGGACCAATTCAGATGGGCAACGCGATGCGGATGCGTGGTAGCTTTCGGCTTCAGGTACAAACGTGCCAATTGTCCGATTGCGTGGGAAGTGACGCCTGTGGCTACAATATAGCATTGCACCACTACCAAACAATGCTCTCGAGAGATGTCGTATTGCCTCTGCTAGACAAGTAGGGCGTAGGCGAGAACTCATCATGGGGAAGGCTTTGTCGATGCCCTGCGTCTTTGACTCTCCATGGTGCGGGTGTATGTGACCGCGAAGACAGATTGACGAGATCAGGGCCAGAATGCATGGAATAGGGAGTGGGTGTCCGAACAGCGGCGCGTGTTGGAGCGGTGCGATGAAGTTTTTGTTAGTAGAGACCTTGAGAAATGGCCAGGTTGCACCCGGTCTTCCAAATAAGCGCTAGCTGGAGACCGTTAAGTGAAGGATTATTGTGGCGTTATTTTGAGAGGTTGAGAAGCCTGCAATTAGCATATAATTAGAATAGGTATAGCGCAGCTAAGGAGGCCTGTTTGACCCCTATTTGTATACTAACTTTAGCTATAGATAGTAATATACTATATAGATTCAGACGGCGATACTAAGGCTGTTATCGTTACTACAACTACCGCAATTGCTGCTATTATTAGCAGTGAATATATAGATAAAAGTAGCAGTAATAAGGAGCGATAGGTACGCCGAGAGGGCGAGTCTTCTTGTAAATATTAGATGCAGCAATTACGGCGCTATCGACTATATAAACTACTACGCGAATATACAAGAGATAGGTTTAATCTTCTTACTTATCTAGAGGCTAATATCTAGGGTAACTTCCGGTTTACTAAACCTAAGTTGTTAGAGCTTATAGAGCTGCTAGATATTGCTTTAATTCGCTTACTAAGAGGTCTTAAATTGCTACCGGAAACAGTGCTTTATATAGTATATAAGAGGTTGTCGAGTCTAGGCTTCTAGAAGGACCTTAACGACCTATTTAGCTATTTAGCCTCTACTATATTATACGTATTTAATACGGCAGTATACTAAATAGCCTTAAGATAGAAGAGCTTCCTATATTTCGATAAAACACGGCTTACTAAGCAATATCTCCGGCAGCTAGCAATGTCGTTAGAACCCTTAGTTAGAGTAAGCAGTATTTAGGGATATATTAATAGCATAGTACGTAAGATAGTAAGGCTATTGCGCAACTAGCGGGTGTTTTATAATAGCTATAAACACTAGCATAGTCTTAAATTCTAGGGTATATAGCTGCTAGATAGAATGTTGCTTATTAATAGTCTATATCTAGGCTCTTATAGTAACGGACGATTAGTACGCGAGTCTAATATTAACTAGCTTTAGCATAAGCTATTTAACAGCGATTCCCTCGAAGACAAGCTCTTTCTCTTTAGTGACTTAGCATATAGACAGGTTAATAGCATTATTAGCTTATAGAAATCGAAGAGAGGCGGTTATCGTAACCCTACGTAGGCGTAGGTTATAAAGGAATAGTCGGCTCTACGATAATCGGTCGAATAGGGGTTTAGAGATATAGTTAATAACTAGTGCTTTTTCGATTATAAGAAGGGGCTAAGAACAGGCCTGATGCCTATAGGGTCTTGTTATCTCATAGTAGTGCTGTTAACTAACTGCCTAGCTTGTTATCGTAGAAATAAGGTCGCTATCTACTATGCCTTGTCTATACTAAACATTCGCGATTATTTGGGTGCTAAGCTGCCTCTAGAGCCGCTAGAAGATGCTATAATACCAGATCTAATGCGCGCTAATATCAATAGTAATAGATATAAGGTTGGAAGTAATATAGATAATATTAGTAATGTTGTTATTAATAGAAGCGATAAAGATTAGTAAAAGCTAAGGTTTTAACGAAATTCCGCGCCTTTTAACTTCTAACTTCTTTATTAAACACTCTCGATATTATAACTAATAGTATATAGACAACGATAACAATACCTAACTTATTCGATACCTACTAAGTTTCTTACCAATTCCGGAACTAATAAAGGCTCGGAAACCTATCTAAACTACGCTCGATTCAATCCTCCTTACTTAAGTCTAAAATCTTAATTATATAAATATCTACGTACTAACGATTATCAATCTCTAATATCTAATACTTCTAATACCTACGAGACAGTTCTATCGCTATCGTAGCTGTCGTTACTATTTCCTATTAGCGTAAGAACGTTAGCAACGAGGTTACTATCTAAGCTAAAATCCGTAACCTAAGACAGCTACGATAGAACAAGAGGACTATATCTAATACGGCTAATAAGAAGGGCTCTTAGCTTATTAAATTAACGTACCGTAGAAGCGTGCATCAACTTTATACGCTTCTTAGAGCGATTATCTAGGTCGTCTATACGGCGTATTAAATAGTTGGCTTCCGTAGAAGAAGAATTAGTCCTTAGCCGCTTAGCTAATATAGTGATTGCTTCTCGAAACGGCTCTAACACTCGACCTAGTAACCGCTCTTTGTTTAGCTGCTTCTTACTATCGATATCTAACCGGCGGCGTATCGTATATAGTGTTACTAGAGTATTAAAAAGAGATAGAGTTAATAGCACTAGAACTACTAGACCTAGACTCGGTATAGAGGGACTAGTAGGAGCTACTGTTGTTATTAGCTCTTAAACCCGCTACGATATAACACGGAGCATATTGTCTTAGACCTGCTAAGCCGGGGTCTCGTAACTGCGCAACTCCTTAGTAGTTAATAGCTTATTACGGACCTTCTTATTATTCTACAATATAGTGTCCTTGAAGCGATCTAGTATCTGTTTAAACTCAGAGTCCTTAGCAACTATACCGGAAGCCGTAAGTAGTATTCTATACTTAACAACTCGCTTTATAATCTACTTACGGATAAGCGTGTCTATACCTTTAATAGCACGCTATCTAGCAGGCCTGTTATCGTTACACTACTTCTAATAGCGCTTAATCATCTCTCTTATACGGCCTTCTATATAATAGCTAGAATTGGCCTCGAAGTGCTTAATAATTAATAAGGTAAAGTTATCGGAAATGCGGGTATCTTTATAGACTCGGTTATATTTATCTTCTACCCCTTCTAGTAGGTCAAAGTTGTGCTATAGGTCTTTAGCACTAGCACTACTGTTAGTGGATTGAGAAGCACTATTGTCGGTAGATTAAGAAGCACTATTATCGGTAGATTAAGAAGACTAAGAGCCGGTTATATCTAGTACAGGTTGTTAGACTACAACCTGTTGTTATTGTCGCTGCAGATGAGCTGTCAAAGAAGTGTCTACACCTCTAATAACAACTGGCCTTAGTGGAGTTGAATTTGGGGTTTGATCTGGCACACTGCTATCGCTATGTCTCAAGAGGTCTTGTTTGGTCTTGGCTCCAGATTGAGTTTGTGTCGCCGAGTGCACAGGCCGGAAGCTTATTCTATTCTCGTTGAAGCTCTGGCTGCTCTGCGATGCGTGACAACGACGTCGACATCGACGTCAACGCAACACCAATGCAACATGTGACCCGACGTGCGAGGCCGCATGCTCCGTCGAATTATCATCATTCCAGACTTCATGTCGGCGCACGAATTGCTCGGGACGACATCGACCAAGTGCGCATCTCGTCGGACCAGCCAACAGTCATAGGCGATGATGGCAGGAGGACGTATCGCCTTCGCAAGCATGGCAACAAGCCATTGCCATTACCAGAAATCATGGACCCTATCTACCTGCAAGCAAGACACAAGTCCAAGCAGCGCAAAGCACGCCCGCCAACCGAAGAGGAGCTGACACCTTTCCAACGCAAGCTTGCATTCAGTCCTTACGCTCGTGCTTTAGCGACGTCTGTTAGACAGTGTCGCTTGACACAGGCGTGCCTGCCGCAGCACTTTCTAGCAAGGTTCACGATCACGGCAGTAAAGAGCGATGCGATGGAAAGCGACGACACCCCCGAACAGATCAGACGTCGGGAGAACGACAAGAATCCTGCCAGATCATCTTTCCTTCCGGCTCCGTTGGGTGAACCGCGAGAGATAACCACAGGACCTGTCCTTGGCACCAGAGAGGTCGTCGAACATTTGAGCAAGAAAACAAATTGGAAGATCCTCGTGAAAGAGGGCGAAAGAGGCCAAAATTGGGACAAGGATATGCCTGATCTATACCTGCGGAGCCTGAGGGACGTAACCTTAGCTCAACTGGAGCTCTGCTTGGAGTTAGGCTTGAGGCAAGACACGACGGCCAAACATAAAAATGTTGACTGCATATTGCTTGTCAAGGCGCGCGATACTCCTCCCGTAGATCTCCTTGAAGCAATGAGCCAAGATGACACGACAGAAGTGCAGAGCTATCCCAATGGGCATGCACAGCATCAACTTTATGAGTACGACCTCACAAATTTGATCCCGCAAGAGCAAGTGGACGCATTCTTATCGCAGCACGACATTCAGGACGGGAAGATACTCTTGAGCCAACACGCGGAGACAACAAGAGTGGCCATGGATTTGGAAAGGTTGCGAAACTACACTTCGTGATCGGCACCGTGCGGGCATTGAATTCAAGGTGTGAGGCACATCAAAATGTACACAACTCGTGACTGTGAAAGGATTACTGTGTCTGAGCAAAGGACACTGTCCGCAGCAAGTCAAGACATGTCCAAACCAATAAATGAGGCCCGAAGACCAAGCGTTACCCTCTTTTTTCCAACAAGTCTATGCTATGAATCACTCTTCACTTATCAATTGGCAACATCAGACAGGCACAATCCGCTGCGATCAGCGACAAACATGTGCAAAACCACCCTTGCGTGCGTAATTATCATCTCTGTTCATGGTATTTACTAGCACCTACCCAGCGTCCCAGGTAATCCAACCAAGGTCAATGTCGGCCAACCTGCCGATGGCAAGGTCACTACATGCTGAATCATGTGCTCCGACTTCTTCAAGGCGAGCAGAAAGGGTATCTGGTCCACAAAATCATCGGATATCAGCTTTCCGGGAACATATGCATACTGCCAGTTCCTGCGGAAGCCTGTATATTCTCTGAACCAGTCATGAACACGCTGTTCAAAAGAGCGGGTTGCCGGTCAGAATTCGGAATAAAGTCAGTATAAATAACGTAAAATCGAAGAAGGAAAAGAAGCAGGTAGCCGGGAAATTCCTCGCGATGTTCTTACGACTCTACCTATCTATAATACGTAGCCTAGGAGTTTATAGAAATTAGGGTAATTACCTTTTAAACTTAGACTAGCGAAGGCGATAAGCAGAAGCTCGTTAGAATGCCTAACGGTCTTATATAAGGCGAGATACTCCTAAAAGATCGGAGGTATCCGCGCTTACTAAGCGTAGATCTCGGGCGTACTTATAGGCTATAAAGGTCGGCTACGTACTTAGCGCTAAGCCTCCTTAGCTTCTACCTTATACTATCGAACCTAATCTTTAAAATAAAGCGATTATCGATATATTAGCTTCTTAGATAGCTTCCTTAGGCTTTTAACTATATTAAGTAAATAACTAAGCGACTTAGAAAGGAGAAGCGATATTTAGTAAGCGAAGCTATTAATATAGATAGAAGAATATCCGTAGCTAGTATAATTTTTAACGTAGCGGTAAGTTTTACTATATATAAGTTAGTACTAAAGTAGGAAGATAATTAGCGAAACTAGAGAAATATTAGAGTAAAGAAGAAAAACTAGAGGAAGAGTCTACTTATAGCTAAAGCTAAAAACATATAAGGAGTATAACAATTTAGCGGAATCTTTAATCGGTTATAGCTATTCAATTTTATCGTCCTAAATGTAAGCCAAGCTACGCTATATAACATCGGAGTGAGGTAGCAACCTTATACGCCTCTCTCAAGCAAGTTATCCGTATAGAAGTACGTGAGTTCGCGGTCGAGTCCTAGAACTCCTCGACACTAGTGAAGCGATTGTCGGGTGTGAGTTTCACGAATGCTTGTCTCGTTCACCCCCTCACTTATATTGAAGACCTCTCTCTGCGTAACGCTTCACGGACGATCAACATGTATAGGAATACCTAACTGCAGTACAAAGCTCTCGGCACCCTCGAAATGACGGAGTGATTTCTAGAAGGCTAAATTTGCAAATTGATTCGATCATGAGTATCATAGCTCTCGTGCTCTCTCTAACATCTACAAAAGTGACGCTACTTCATGCAGCGCGTTCGTCGCCCAGAGCTTGAAGTCCACCAAGCACTCTTCGTTGCTAAAGCAGCAACTTCGCGGCCCAAAGCATTCAGTCTTTGATGTTAATGCCAGAGTTTGATCTCTTGCCTGCCTCGCCAGGCATGACGGTTGAGATTTCGCGAGCCCAAGCCCGCGTGAGACCATCGGAGTTGCCGCCGTCAAGGCCTTCGACATCATCCTCCATCCACGCCTCCGGGAAATTCTCGATGCTGCGATCCGCGAACGTTTCCTATCGGCCTCGCTGTTGCTGCATCGACTCCCGCGCAAACTCCCGCTCCGTATCGTGAGCGATCTGGGCTTCGAGCTCCTCTCGCAGGCGTGCATCAACATCGATACCCATGTGCCCGTGCTTGCCATCATCAGCACCATCAAGCTGCATTGTGTTGTCTGGATCCCAATGCTGCAGGTCTTGTTGAATGCCTTGCATGATTTGAGGATCGATGGGCGTCTGGCTGTAGTCGGCGTCGACACCACCATGATAGTGCATGCCGCTCATTTGTGCAGCCGGAATGGAGTCTTGCAGCTGCTGTTGCGCTTGTGGAAGATGCTGCTGTTGCGTCTGCGTAGCTTGCTGTTGACGTTGAGTAGCTGATTGTTGCGAGAAAGACTCAGTCTTCGCCAGAGGCGAAGCACCGGCCACGGCATCAGGAGCTTGTGAGTCCGCCGATGCGGTGACTGTCTGTCGTGGTGTGCGATTGTTTGCGCCAGAACTATTAGCATTGGCACCTGAGCCTCCACGTCTAGTGTGATTGGGCGTCGGCGGTGGCTTTGCAGCGGCCGACGTACATTCGGAGCAATTGCGGATTGCGGTGCTGACAGTCTCTTTGATCCGCACCCAATGATAGCGCTCAGCGATACTGGCTGTGGTCTTGTTAATGCCTCCGTGGGCTTGCGCGTGGATCAAGCGAGCGATCTCGTACTGCTTGTGTGGGTCAGAAACAACCTCTTTACCTTTGAGCATGAGCTTCTCTTCCTCTCCTTCGCCCTCAGTGTTAGGCACCAACCTATAGTGCGTAGCAGCGGAACGAAGACGAGACTTCTCAGCGCGATCGGCGCCATTGGGATATGATCCAGTCTTGAGGTAGTAGCGAATCTTGTCGAAGCGCTCCTCGCTGACGTACTCATCACCCTCTCCACCAAGCTCTCGACCGAAGATGATGGCATCAATGAATTGGTCAGGATAGCTCTTGAGATTACCGCAGCCTTTCACCCGGCCAATTCGCTTGAAGCCCAGAGCGTCCCAGATGCGCAGAGAAGCGACGTTCGTCTCGTACACAAGATTGAAGACCGAATAGGTGTAGCCGAGTTTGGGAGCCCACTCAAGATAGCCCTCGCCCATGAGCCGACCCACGCCGCGATTACGCGAAGCATCGGTGACCAAGAAGCTGCCATTGCAGACATGACTGCTCCTTCCCGGGTAGTTCGGCTTGACGTAGAAGCTACCAAGACATTCTTTAGCCCAGTCCACACCGCGCTCCTCCATCTGTGTGACCTCTTCAACCGACTGTATGTCTCCCATGATCATGATCACCCCAAAGTTCGCGAACCAGTAGTTGCAGAAGGCGGACAGGGCCATGGGCTCACTTTCGGCATACGTATCGCCCTTCTCAATCTCGCGATTGAGAAGCTCACAGAGGTAGGCTGAGAGATGTGGTGGGACTTGGTGAGGCGAGGAGAATGGGACAAGAGTTGCGATTGTCACGCGATCGCGCAGCGTCACTTGCTTCGGTTGGATCTCTTGCGGAAGAGCTCCATATGGCTCGGGGTATGGAGGCTGACCGGAGGTGCGATATATGGCAGGCGCCGAAGGGTCATCGAGCATGGCCGGCATGGTGCGAGACCAGCGTGCGCAATGGCCCTATCTGAGTCGTATCAGCTATCATCGTATGGGCGAAGTCAGCCATGTAACGCGGGTTGAGCGAAAGCATATCGGCACGTGCAGCTGTTGCGACCAGCGCCATGCTGGTGGCTTTGAGCATATCTCATTTCTCTGATGATGGGGCATATGTCGAAGAGACAAAGACGTACCTGAGGCGCTCTGGTGGTTCGGCTGCTGCCTTCAATCTGACGCTTGGATCCTGGGTCAACTGCAAGATACACTGGCAGTGAGCAGAACTTCGTCGCAAGCTTCATCACGCTAGAGCTGTTGTGGTTCAGTCAGGTGATATGCTGGTCAGCTGATACCATCAGCTGACCTGTGCCAAGAGGAAGGACACACAATGGGTATATTAACTGCAGTTTCTGTAGCAGGCTCCTGATCCTTCTTTGTACAGTTACATAGTTGTCAATCCGATGATTAGTTGCATCCCTAGCACGATTCACAACAAGAGCGGAAACAGCCTTGGCGACGGCGGCATTAGCCGTGAGAGCGGATGCTGCTCCTCTACATTATTCTCCTGCGGCCTCCTCCTCACCACTCTCAAGTAAGAAGTCTCGATTAATCGCTAGCAATCTTCGCTATCGCCGCTGTCTTACTATAGTAGCTACAGCTGCAATAAATGCAAACACGAGTTAATACCTATTACGATACGCCTAGGCTGCAATTAGTTCTTAGATATATACCTATAGCTATTAAATACTAAATATTTAAGATTTACTACTCGTATTCAGATTCACTAATGAATGTTAGTAAATATTCATATTCAATTTATATTTAAATACAATCTTAGCGATAGTAAGGGTAGTAGTAACGCTTAGAGTTAAGAAGAAGGGTATTTTATAGCTATTTATATAACTCGTCGTTGTCTTCCGCTTCTATACTTAGTTATAGCATGTCTACTAGTATATCCGCTACGCTAGTACATTGCTATTACTTAGAACACTCGCTTATACGGATGCTATTACTATTAAGAAAGGCTCGGTTCTATAAAACTATACGTCTACTACTACTAAAGGTATGCTTAGACTCCGCGGATATAGCGAAGGCTAATAATAAGTTAATAGCTAGTTGCGAGAGTGTCGGATAGGCTATCCGTTATTAGCTAGTAACCGGCCTTATATACCTAGGCTAAGTTTTAAGCCTATATAAGAGGCCTCCTTCTATATTATAGATAGAGTACTAACCTCGTATAGCACATTATTTACGTTACACTTCTATAATGCCTATGTTATAGGGCTCTAGTTATTAGCCTAAGCAACCGTCTTGTTATCCTATTATACTAAATATAGCTACCTATATTGCTATAGGTTATATTACCCTCGGTAGCCTATACTATTACTACTAGTAGTAGTAGTAGTTTTAGTTTCCGTCCTTTATTAGAGCCGAAGGTGGGGCTATCTCTTTATATCTAATAGGTTCGGGTATGTTAAAGGTAGTCTCTAGGTACGAATAGCTATAACTAAAGCAAGGGTACGATAAGAGCCTACGATACGGACGATACCGAAGTATCTTAAGGGGCTATTACGACAAGCAGAGGAACCTCTTAACGAGGGCATCGCTTTAACCCCGAAAAGCTACAAACCCTTAGGACTGTTATAGCTTAGGGCCTAGTCTATAGCTATAGCTAGCTTCTAAGGACTCGGCTCCGGGTCGAAGACCTATTTAGTACCGCTTGCTCGAGATAAGCCCCGCCTAAGGAGGAGATAGACTAATTACCTATTAGCCTTGCTTAGTTTACTAAGACTATTAATTAATAGCAAATATAGATTGTAGGTCGGATAGCCGGGGAGTCCCCTATTAATCGGGTAGGGCGTTCCTAGATTCGCAGCCTCGCTTAGATAGTACTTAGCCTTCTACTAGAAAAAGAAGGCTACCGCCCCCCCGCCTAGCTAAAGGAGGTATAAGCTAGTTTCTAGGATCTAGGTATAAATAGAGATTGCAGTCTCTCCCTCCGAGCGGCTTTTGTCTAAAATCTACTAAACTTAGCTCCTAGAGGTAGTTAGGCGACCCCTAGGAGGCTAAATCCTAATACTACCCTAGGGATAATACTAGGAGAAACAGCCTAATATACTACTCTCTCGTATAGCAACATTATAATAAACTAAATAGACTAAAGTTACTAAAAACACATTTATATAGCATTCTATTTTAACTTTATATAGCATTCTATTTTAACTATTTCAACTATTTTATAACAATCGAATAAGCTCTAGCTCTAGCGAAAACAAACATCGAGAATTAGCGGAATCCTCTAAATCCGAAAACGCCCCTAATCCTATTAACGAAGAAATTAGGCGGCGACTAGTTAATATAAGTAAGCCTCCTACGCCCTCTACGCTAGAGGCGCTCTATACTGTCCTTATAAAAATAATAGAGAAGCAAACTAAGCTTCTCCGTTAAAACAAGCGTCGCCCGCTAGAGCTAGGGAGTAGGGCAAATCCCCTATTCGAAGGGTAGAACGCTATAGCATATATTAAGCGCTTTAAGGAAGGCTTAGTTAATTACGAGCTCGATAGAGAATCCGACTAGTACAAGATTCGGTCCTTTACGAGGACTACCTCCTCTAAGCTTTACCGAACCCTTAAAACCCTAGTTAGCTACCTAGAAAAGGACGATAAGTCTAATACTAACTAGGAGACCTTTAAGATAGCCTTTATAAGGGAGTACCGGGAGCGCGATAGCCGTCGTATTAAAGGTAGTCGTACGTAGCTCGAGTCTCTCTACTTAGTAAGGCGCACTAAGGATAACGACCTAAAGGGGTATATCCGCGAGTTTATCGAGTTAGCGGATAGTATCGAATAGAGTAACCTCGAAAACTCTTAGAGAACAAGGCTGCTCCTCTAGGGGTTGCCGTAGCCTATAGCTTAGCGTATCTTCCGTCGCTATAAGCTTAGCGAGTCCGATCCTAAGAGTTTTAGGAAATACAAAGAGGTCCTAGTATATATTAAGGCCGACATTAATAGTATAGCCGATACGAGGAAGTTTATCTACGGCGAAGACCGGAATAACCTAGCGCAGGTTAGGAAAGAAGCCTTAGTAAGTAAGGGACCTAAGTTCCTTCCTAAATCGCAAAGTAGTCCTAAGACTGTAACTCCTACTATTACTAAGCACTCTTAGGATGTCGCGGACTTGGCTAAATCCCTAGCCTAGCTAAACCTAAATGCGAAAGCATTGCAGCGAGTTAGGGAGGTTATTAATGCTACTATACTAGGCGATATACTACTAGTCTACTAGGTTTCAGATCCTAACTACCCTAAAGCCCCTTTAGTAGATATCTACGCTATACGGAAGATCTATTCTAACTTAGATAGCAAGTGCTAGATATATAGCGGGTTTAAACATGTCTAATCCTCCTACCCTATCTAGAAAGAGCTTCTTAAAAGGAAGCTTATTATGCAAGTAAATAGCCGATTCTACTATATAGACACCGGCGACAAGATTGATTTCGAATAGGATCGGAGAGCCCCGAAGCTGCCTTAGCTAAAGACCCTTCTAGAAAAGAAGTATAGCGGCAAGATCGAGTTTAAGGACACTAGGAACAGTACCCTCGCTGCTATTACTAAACGAGAAACTTAGAAGGTTAGGGCAAAACAGGTTAAGGAGCGAAGTAGTAACGGAACTACTAAGCCTATTAAAGTCAACTTTGTTTCTTAGGATCCGGACGTAGTTACTAATGTTTACGCGGTTACTAAGAATAGTATAGATATCTACGCTGCTATACGGTCTTAGACCTAGTCCTAAAGCAAGGGTAAGAGCCCTTAGAACCCTACTCGCCCTAGTACGGCAGCCCCTACTAGGGTACTAAAGAACAAGGCGGCCGACAAGGCTAAGTAATAGCGAGAGTTAACCGCTAAAACTAAGACTCTCTAGATAGCTACAGACCGCGCTACCCGATCTAGTACCGTACCTAGCACCGCCCCTAGTACCCTACCTATAGAAAGCCTAGTCGTCCTAGAGACTCTAGAGGTCGATATAGAGGATATTACTACCGACATTAGTAGTACCCTAGGCCTAGCTAACCTACCTGCCTATAAACGGAAGTTATCCGACCTAAAGAGCTTTCGCTTTAATAGGTATATAAACAAGTATAGTACTAGCCTAGCTAACTCCTTAGATACAAAGGCAAACGCTCTCTTCTAGGCTTTATAGTTCCTAGACCTTAAGTCTAATGTGTCTATAGGAGAGCTACTAGTATACGGTTTGCCTACTAACCTATTCTAGAGCCGAATTCCTAACGATGCTACCTTTATAAAGGATCTCGCTACCCTCCGACGAAAACAGGGACGAGAAGACTATATCGACGTCTCTTCCCTATAGTTCCTTCCTAAATTTTTAGGTACCTAAGAGTTAGTAGAAGGCGAATCGGTAACCTACGAGAACTAAGAGACTATCGATAATGCTAACGAAGAGGGAGTTAAGGAGATAGGCCGAGGGGATAGTAATAATCCCGACTCTACTCTAGTTTTAGTCTCTATTAAGGCTATCCGGTTTACTAGCTAACAAATCGGTCGAGTAGGACCTCCTCGACCTAAAGAACTTTACTCTATCCCTAATAATATAGACCTTTCCGTAGTTACCCGTTCCTTCGCCGTCGTCCCTACTATCTATATTTAGGTTACTATCGGGAGCTATAGTTAATAGATGCTAGTAATGCTTAATAATAGTTCAGAGTTACTTATTATAAGTAAGCGCTAGGCTAAACAGCTTAGACTACTAATAAACAGAGACATTTCCCTTAGCATATAGGGAGTAAATAGGGAGGTTACGCTAGTAGGTGCCTGCTACAATATTATAGTAGACGCTTTCGGTATATGCTTTTCCTTTACCTTCTAGATTGCCGCCGACCTAAACACGCTAATTATTCTAGGTCGGCTATAGTCTCGCATAACTCGTAGTATCTAGCGCAACTACGACGATAGCTCCTAGGAGGGAACTATCGCTAACTAGAAGGGCAACCGAGTCGTGTTTACTAGTTATGTCGGCAATACTAGCTACAAGTCCTACGAGGATATCCTTGCTACTTCTAGGCGGTTTTCGGGAAACGCTACAGCGCGGTTATAAGACCGGCAATCTGCGCTATAAGTTAGTATAGCTTAAATAGGTCATTTCTAGAAGTGCGCCGCTCCGTACGTTAAGGCAAGTTTCTAGGTTCTATACTAAGAAGACGAGTGCTCGAAGCGATAGCGAGTATAATATAACGACTACCTATACCTATTATATAAGTTAAGGTAATAATACTATCTTATATATCGTCGCCGGAGGTATTACTACCGGACGCGGGTCTACCCGAACTAACTAATTAGAGCGCGAGTCTAATGCTACCCTAGGGGTGTTATTACGAATCTAACGTTTTCGCCGGCGTTATAAATTAGGACTACTAGCTATACACCTATCGACTTAAGGAAACTTCTAAAGAAGTTTATGCGCTATTTTGTTGCGCCAATCTCTAAGCCTAGCGATAAAGAGAGCGAGCTCGGGTTCGACAATCGATTAGTATACATACCCTATATAAGAGGGTAGCTAATAAGATTAAGCCTATAAAGGGTAG